CCCAGACGATTCTGGCAGCAATTTGCAGTAATCGGAGGGTATACGGCTGAGTAGAACTAGGCGACAGCCGATCCAGGGTATGACTCCTGGAGCCCGCGTGTGCTCCCCACCTGATCAGAACGCCTAGGCGAAAACTGTGCAGTGATTTGTGCACTTACTCCTTCTACGCATTCAATTCTATGCGCAGCTTGAGGTACCGTGTCCCGCCCGTTTTCCTAAGATCATACATTAGTCGCAATCCAGACTTTCCACGTGTCTCTATGTAGCCCTTCTCCCTCCACAGGCTACTCTCCCCGCATTAGGTTGCTTAGTAAGGACGTTGGGTCACGATTACAGTGACAGTAAATAACATCCACTGAAAGGGCATTTAAAGGACATTATTCAGTCCCGTTACAATGATAGAGACGTGCAAACACCCTTTATGAATGCCTGCAAACGGGCAATCAAAGGAGTACCGCAGCTAGGAAAAACCTTCGCAGACAAATGAAGAAATGCAGAAGAAAGTCAGAGTGAATAAGAAGCAACGAAATGAACAGCAAAGCAAGCAGCAAACTCACATTATTATCCAATGCCCATGTCAGCTCACCGGAATCGAATAGTGTAAACCATCGTCGTTGCCATCGCTGAAACCATCAGTTATCACTTCATATTACCTGATTCTGTTTACTGTACATCTATAAATGTATTTTCTCTAGGTAACTTGATAATAGATGAAGGATAAAAGGTAAAGTTTTCGCCGTTGATCAATCCCTTTGTGGGATGCGGCACGCATTCTACTTCCATTCAGAATCGTAGTGGCTTATTGAATGCGATGTGGCCTATACAATGACTTGCGGGGGCCAGCCGATGTACAAGTCAGTGTTTTATCCTCCCAGACGAATCTGGTACCAATTTACCGTCCCCGGAGGGTAGAAGGCTTGGTTGGCCTGGGCGGGTGTCGACCTGGGATTTGAACCCAGGACCGCGCGAATGGTGAGCCTTGATAACGGATATTAGGGCTAAATTCATAGTTTGCGATAGTACCCCTGGCTCATAGCAATAAACCCTTTCTTTCTGGAGCTTTCCTTCCCCTAACACGATAGAAAGGAGGGTTGTGACATCGAGCAAGGTCTCCGCCTATCCGACTATCGCGGAAAGCGCTTCAAGATTGTCTTCAAGGGTTCCATCGTTCAGTAGTCAGCGCATTTTCTGGTTCCCAGGATCGCGCGGTTGCGGCAGGGTTTGTTTGGGCCCCCTACCAGGCCGTAGTCAGTGATGGCTAAAATAGCTGGACCTACACTGCAGGAGCTTTTTGCTGCTATCTTAAATGGTTGCAACGACTCTGCTCAGCGAAACAAGACCGCAGCGCTACCGCTCGCGTCAAAAGTCTACCAGCTAAGCATACAGCATGGTGTGGAACAGTAAGCAGTAAACTGTATATGGGTTCTGAGGAGAAAACGTAGACGTGCTACGATATGGGCAAAATGTTTCGCTCCAATAGGGCCTCGAATCCATCCTTCAACGTTTCCAAATCAGGGACGAAATGGTTCCAAAGACGATATGAACAGTGCCTGCTTCGCAAAATCTATGAGCAACGTCATTCAATAGGCCTGCCATTTCTTTCCTCAGCCATTCGTCCTTTGGAGTCGCGATCGTTCTGCTTACTAAGTACTGCGATTTCAAAGGCAATTCACATTAAGAAGACATCCAACGAACATAGAACGTTCCAAGAAACAGAAAGAAAAATTATAAACTGGTTTACGAAACGCTATCACAATAGGAAAGAAGGTAATTGGATTTCAGTGGAAAAAAGCCTCCTTGCTGAGTAATGCGCTGTACTCACCTTAGCCGAATGTGATTGCAATGAAAAGTCGAGGTTTGGCGGCGCCACGTACAGAAACCCGCACGCCGTAACTTTACGATTCATCTGAAATTGTAAAATTATTGATTTGTGAAAATGCTAAGCGATTTCAAGCTTTTCTTGTGTTTCGACCAAATATGAACTGAGGCATCCGCTCCAATCGGATTTTCAGTGAGATTAAGGCTAGAAAATCGAACTCAAAAAGACCAAGAACAGGCTCATCAAGGGCAATACATCTGAGAAGCAAAAAAAAGTGTCTGAAACCGGAAACCAAAAATCGGAAGAACGAGCGAATAACATTGGAGATAAGTGGACGATGAGCAATCGGCAGCAGTCAACAGCGCGTTAAAAAATTTTGTTTAGTTAGTAAATTCAAGACGAAAAGTGCACAGTGTAATATCACACTTATCTCCCCCCCCCCCCTCCACACTCCTCTCCCTACTTTGCCGCATTCGTCATGGGAGCAGTAAGACCAGACAGGGGTCGGATTTCAAAGAAGGAGCCCAGGAGGCTAGGCCTTCATCGTCATTCAATCTCTTTTCGGGATGCGCCACGCATTCTCCTTCCATTCAGAATAGTAAAAGCTCGTTGAATGCGATGTGGCCCACTTGCAGGGGCAGAGGTCACCCGATGCACAAGTCAGTGTTCTAATCCTTCCAGACAAATCTGGTACAATTCACCGTCACCGTAGGACAGAAGGCTTGATTTGCTAGGGGGAGCCGATCCAGGATTTGACCACCCCCCTCCCAACTGTGCGTGTGGTGCCGCTACATCAACTCAAGGCTATATTAGTAAGAGATTGATGGCAACTTCTCGTTGACCGTACGGGCGGAATGAGTTGAACCGTTACGCCTTTCTCACTGATGTGCTTCTCCCCTTTGTCATCTCATGAACAAGAAACCGGCTGTTCGGCTTGGAAGGGCATTTTGCACTTTCGTTAGTTTGGTTCCTACATTCCTTACGCTGGTGAAATTTGTAGGCTCTTGGAAGATTGTAAGAGTATGCATAGCTTTACAGGAATTCTCAGGTCTCCACAAGATGCTTCCACAGCGCTTGATGGAAACTAGGAACATGCCCCCACCAGGCCGAACTTCGTCGAAGAAACTCAGTAGAGGCACTTCTTCTATTTCACATGCACTACCCATGCGGTCAGAGGGAATGCGCCTATTGAGCCTTGATCTGGCGCTTGATCCTGAGGTAACCGCTGGGCTGACGCCTTTGAATCACGTTAGTATTCATCCTCAACAGGAGAGCGGTGGGTGAAAGATCACGGTCTAGTGGAAATCAGAAACTGGAAATTACGCTCTGCCTGGTCTCACCTGTGGTCACAACATTTAGACAGCCGCAAATGTAAGAAAAATGTGAAAAAACCGCCGCTGCTGTTGCTATCTTTCGTATCAGCACTCTGACGAAGACGATAGAACGGTCATGACGGAACCGACGAACAGACCCAATGATAAGCAGTTCAGTTTAAATGCTCTCGACAAGCCTCGTAAAACAAAGGAACGGCTATCAAGCCTTGGTCGTACGTGAATTTGCGTAACGGATTTGCTAACGGGATTTGTAGCACAAAAAGGTAATCGATTAGTTGTACGGTACAACACTGAACGTTTCTAAGTCCCTGTGTTCCTAGCCCGTTCTCCATCAGTTGCTGAAGAGGGTAGGCGGCCACAACTGTTGAAAAACGACTGATACGAACGAACGATATGATACAGCTTTCTTGCTTGCAGAAATCAAAAACGAAAAAAAGCGTGCTGGCGCCGCTTCAAACGCAGCCGCACTGACACGCCCATCAAAGAGAAAAAATGAACATAAAATTAAGCAGAAATCTTCTACTTGAAATCGATCAACAGCCGATAGATGCAGGAAATTCACAGTGTATTTGCCCATATATCCACGAGTTCGCATAATTTAGCGAAATT